ACACAGGATTCATGCACTAGTTAATATCACATCCGTGAGGTACAAGAACTAGATATTGATCTTTTACAACTTTGAAATATGTGTAACTTCAGCTGCTGGCTGGGTGTCCAGACTTCCTGGGGGGGCTGCAAGCCCCATGGGGCTCTGGAGCATGTTTTATTCACCACTAGTCACCAGAGCCAAAGGCAGTGGGTATTTAAGAGAGGTACAGGGTTAGGACTTGCAGCCCTTTGGGCATTTGGGACAAAGGGATGGGTGAGGGGGAAAAGGGGAGTATCCCCTGTCCTATAACTGCCTGCTTCCCCCCTACAATCACACACACTGCAGGAAAGACCCCCCACCTGTATTCTCATAGCATCCTGGGCCTGCTGGAAAGGAAAGAGACCAGAGCAGGAAGCCCCATCGCTCACATTAGCCCCCACCGGTTCCTGGCAAGGTACCAACCCCTGGGGCACGGCAGACCCCTGTAACCACGCCTTCTACTCACCCTCACCCCGCCACCCCGACTCCTGCACAGTTAACACCAACTTTTCTTCTGCAGAAAGAACATGGTCTCCACCAAGATCCAGGACACCAAAGGCTGCCGGGCGTGCTGTGTGGGTGAGAGCGAACCCCGTGGGTGTGCAGGGAGGAGGTGAGGCTGTGTCTGCAGCCAGCCCAGAGTTAAGTTGGAGGGATAAGGCAGCCTGTTGGAAATGTGTGGCTTTTGCAGGCCAGGGCGGTGGGAGAGTGGACTAGGGGTTGGGGGAGGAGCGAGGATTGACCCTAGGCCATCCTTACCCACCCACAGCCGAGGGCGCGAGCTCCGGGGGCCCGTTTCTGTGCGGGGCATTGGAGACGTCCGTGGTCCTGCTTCAGTGGTACCAGCCCATGAACAAGTTCCTGCTGGTCCGGGTAGGGACCCGTCGGGGCTAAGGCTTTCCAAGCTTATTTCCACCCGAGGTCCCGATCCAACCTCAGTCTCCGCCCACCTATGTCCGACTCCCGAGTCTGAGTCTACCTGAGCCTTAAACTCCGCTCCTCTCCCCTAGACTGTTAGTTCTTCAGGCCCTATGCACGTTTCCCGGGAGACCCCATTCAGGGCCTTTGAATCTCTAAAGAGACTTTGCTGGCGTCCTCGGGCCCTGCGTTTCTGTCACCGAGGGGCACGCCCCCAAGTGGAAGCCACGCCCACTCCGGGCACACCCGTCCCATTCTAAGGCGGCACCAGCAAAGCCCTGTGAGCCCTCACCCCTGAAACGTCCAGATGTCAGTTCCCAAAACCCAGGACCCAGGAAACGCTTAAG